GAAAGAAAGAAAAGGAAGAAAGAAAGAAAAAATACCATGCTGGATTGGGAGGTAAAGCATATGGGTTAAAATCCTGCCTCTGAGGTTTGCTATGTGAAGTTGGGCAAGTCACTGCATCTCTGTGTGTTTCAGTTTCCTCTTCTGTAAAATGAGGAAATTGGCCTTAATGACTTCTGAGGTCTCTTCCCTCTGTAGGGCTGTGATTCTACGCTGTATGATGAGGATGACATCCCCAGCCTGCTCTTTCTAGAAGGGTAGCTTGTGGTGCCCATCTCTGGGTGTCAATCTGGTCAGCACATTCACTTTCAAGAAACTTAGAAACAGAGTAAATATCATTAGTGTTTTTCATTATTTATTTTTACATGAAAAGAAGAGAAATTCCATTAACTCATGAAAACTGGACAAACAAGGCCATTACAACACAATATTGGGGGCAGATGTTTCCCTTGCCGGCCAAGGTGGGATGCTGTTTCCAACTAACTGGAAGCCAGACACTCTGACAGCCTTTCCCAATTAGTAGAGTTTCCCCCAACGGATGGCTGACTTTTTATTTCAATGGATTTTTGGCTTTTCAAGTAGGCTAGGTTCAGACTGTGGAACTAGGCTCAGTATGAACACAGCCTCCAGATCTCTATACATCAGACAGGGAAATTCATTAAGGCAAAGAAGGAAAGTTCCAGAGAATGACACATTGCATGCTGATCACCTTGTGACAAGAAGTCAAAGAAGTCAGAAGGTATGGCAAAGGGGACAAGGGCCTTTCTGTGAAACCTGGGAATGCCCTGTGATTCTAACAAGCACAGGGATAGGGGCTGAACCTGTGATTTCATTGATACTGGGAACTCTCAGACCAGGAAGTTCTTGCTTAGAGCATTGAGAGATCAGGTAATTTGCTCAAGGTCACACAGCCAGTATGTGGCAGAGGTCTTCCTGGCTCCTTGACACCATGTTGCCTCTTGTGAATCTAACAATTTATTGATTCAGAAGTACCCTCAACCACCTGAGAGAGGCAGGACTAAAAGTCAAGTTCTGGACCTAAATCTGCAGAGTGACCTTGGGCAAGGCATTTGCCCTCTCTTGTTCCTCAAAGGAGGGGATAGGAATAGAAAATCTCCAAGGTCATGTCCAGCTCTAAAATTCTATGCCTGCCAACAATTATGGAGCTCAATGAAACTGGGAAGGCAGTAACTGGGGCAATAGTGAGCCAGTGTATTCATGCTGGCCCCTGAGCTCTTTGGAAGAAAGGCCATGTGGACGATGGGAAGAACTAGGTTTAAAATTAGAGGAGCTGAATTCAAGTACTACCTCTGGTCCTTACTACCCAGGTGACATAAACAAGTCATTTAACTCTCAGGTTCCTTACTGAGGGGCAGCTAGGTGGTGTAGTGGATAAAACCCTGGGCCTGGAGTCAGGAAGACTCTTCCTGAGTTCAAATCTGCCCTCAGACACTTACTAGGTGTGTCGCCCTGGGCAAGTCACTTAACCCTGCTGGCCTCAGTTTCCTCACCTATAAAATGAACTAAAGAAGGGAATGACAAAGCGCTTCAATATCTTTGCCAAGAGAACCCCAAATGGGGTCATGGAGAGTCGGACACAACAGCACAGTTGTTCAAAGTTTCCTTGTCTGTGGAGTGAGCAGGTTCCATGCAGTGACATCTAAATCCTTTCTCGCTCTAATTCTTTGTCTGTTTTTCTATGATCCATGTTCATGAACACTTGTTAAGGACCTTTTGCTTAACATATGGAGAGCACAGTGCTAGAGGGACAAAGCTCAAATGTAGAGCAATTTCTGGCCTCAAAGATTCCCAGGACTTGTTTTCTGCCCCAATGCTGAACCCCCAGGACTTCTGGGCCTTGCCATCTGCCCTGAAGCTGATCATTTTTTATGTGTTACCTCCCTCAATTAGAGCATGAGCTGCGGGGGAGCAGGGACTGTCTGGCTTTTTCTATTTGTCTCCTCAATATTGAGCACAATCCTTGGCACATAGTAAGTGCTTAATTAATACTTTTTGATCTATTCATTCATTCCATTCTACCAGGGTGATGCAATATATACCTAGTTAAGCACAATACAAAGTAATTTGAAGAAGGAGGGAGCTCAAGGCTGGGGGTTCTACCCACAAAGGAGGTCAAAGAAGGAATCAAAGAAGGACAAGAAGAGGGTTTCATTGGGTAACCTTTAAGGCTCAGCTTGAAGATCCCACAGCTAATGATGCAGCCTCAGTCACTCTGGAGGAATGGGCGGAGGACAAAGTGAAGAGGCCTGAGCAGAGCTGTACTGAGGCATAGGCCTGAGGGTGTAGGGCATGTGGACTGAGCTAAAAAAGCAGAGAGATAGGAGGGAACAGCCAGGGGAAATCAGAAGCCTGGCTTTCCAGTCAGGAAGGGTCCTGAGTTCATTAGAAATATCTGACTCTTTGATCCACTCTGAGAAGGCTCCCTGACTCCCCACTGTTTGAGGCTGACAGATGGGAGGGATTTCTATAGTTTCCAGCTCTCTCTCTCTCTCTCTCTCTCTCTCTCTCTCTCTCTCTCTCTCTCTCTCTCTCTCTTTCTCTCTGTCTTTCTCTCTCAGCAGTGCTGTTCCTTCCACCCATTCTAGTGTGCTGGGCCACAGATAGGCACCAGGCTATGGCAAATTTTTTTCAGATCTGCTAAACTTTTATTACCAAAGGTCCTTCTGCTAAAAGTCTGTAAACTTTTAAAAAAATTAATTTCTTCTTCTTCTTCTTCTTCTTCTTCTTCTTCTTCTTCTTCTTCTTCTTCTTCTTCTTCTTCTTCTTCTTCTTCTTCTTCTTCTTCTTCTTCTTCTCCTTCTTCTCCTCCTTTTCCTCCTCCTTCTCCTCCTCCTCCTCTCCTGCTCTTCCTACATGGACTCCTTTTTTTTCCTTCCATTCACTCTTTAGGCTATGGAGAGCTTGGTCATTGGCTCTCAGGGTAATTATCAAAATAAAATGAAGAAAAAGGAGGGGAAGGAAGAGGAGGAGGAGAAAGAGGAGAGGGAGGAGGAAAAGGAGAAGGAGAAGGAGAAGGAGAAGGAGAAGGAGAAGGAGAAGGAGAAGGAGAAGGAGAAGGAGAAGGAGAAGGAGAAGGAGAAGGAGAAGGAGAAGGAGAAGGAGAAGGAGAAGGAGGAGAAGGAGAGAGAAGGAGGAGAAGGAGAAGGAGAAGGAGAAGGAGAAGGAGAAGGAGAAGGAGAAGGAGAAGGAGAAGGAGAAGGAGAAGGAGAAGGAGAAGGAGAAGGAGAAGGAGAAGGAGAAGGAGAAGGAGAAGGAGAAGGAGAAGGAGAAGGAGAAGGAGAAGGAAAAGGAGAAAGAAAAGAAGGAGAAGGAGGAGGAGGAGGAAGAGGAGGAGGAGGAGGAGGAGGAGGAGGAGGAAAAAACAAGTAGCAGCATTTATTTAGCACTTTAAGATGTGCAAAACACTTTGCAGACATGGCCTATTTGATCCTGACAACAACTCTGTGAGAGAGGGGCCCCCAAACCTGTACATCTAGCCCTAATCTCTAAGGAATTTCAAACATGCATCTCTAGCTTGTTGGGTACCTCTCCTCCTTTAAGTCCCACAGACTCTCAAATTCAGTGTGTCTGAAACTGAGTTTGTCATCTTTACTAAAAAAAAGTAACCAGTCACTTTCTCCAAATGTCCCTCTTTCTGTTGAGGTCATCACCATCCTTCCAGTATTTAAGTCTGTGAAGCTTGAATTCATCCTGGGATTGTTTCTTTCCTTTATTTTTCATAGCCAAATAGTTTTCAAGTCCTGTGGATTAACCCTGTGCAACCAACCCTTTCTCTCCACTCACATGGCCACCACCCTAACTCATGTCTCATTATCTCTGCCCCCCCCACACACACTTTTAGAGGCTTCTGGTTAGTATCCCAACTCCCAGGCTCTCCTCTCCCAGCCCTGCCTTCACAGAACTGCTCCAATTATTTTCCTAAGGTATACTATTGTTTCAATAGAATCTTAACAAAAGGGCAAACGGAGGCAGATCACTGAGTGAGATAACACATTTGCAGGGGCATGCTACTTGGCAATAAATAGGTCCATGGCTTGCCTCCATTTGTGCCAAAAATAGCTCCCCTTATATAGGTTTTGGAGAGTACAGAACAAAGAACAGAGACAGGTAGATGACATCACGGGATTAAAAGTGACGTGATTGGTTACAGAGGTGAAGGACAGTGAACAACAGGATTGGTTGGAAGTTTGGTGATGGGGGCTAGCAACAACTTCCCTTCTTTTCTCACGAGATTAAGAAGTGCTCTTTCTTTGAGTCCAGGTGCGAGATAGCAGCCCAGACTTTTGGACAGTAAACCAGACATCCCTGAAGGATGGCTTGCTGGTGTAGAGATATCAGGCCCCAACTCCCTTGCTTTCTTACACATTCCCCAAGGTTAGCAAAAATTCCTTGAGCAGGAAAGTTGGCTTTTTAAACTTAACCGATTACTGGCCAGCTGAACTCTGAACTAAGTCCAGAGTCAGAGAAACCACAACTCAAGCAGCTACAGAATAAAAGCAGTCATGGGGTAAAATCAAGGACTTGTAAATAAGATCAATAAGAAAGTGATCCAGGATCAATCTGAATCTTGTCAGGTCTTATTCAGTCACTCTCCTGCTCAGAAATCTTCAGTGGCTCCCTATTGCTTTATTATAAAACATGAACTCTTTACAGTGGCATCTAATTTCCTTTATAATCGATTCCCTACTTACTTCTGCAGCCTTATCTCAGATTAATCTCCTTCATGAAATTCGTGTTTTACTCAAAAATGACCAACTAACTTTACAGCTTATACAATATTTTCTTTAGAATGTCCCTGTGAGGTATGTAGTATAAGAACATCAAGACTCAGAAAGAAAAAGCACCTTACCCACTGAAAAGAGCACTAGGAAAATATAGTCCAATGCCTGAAAAATCATTCAGTGCTCTATAGCCTGCATATTTCCAAACTGATTTCAGGGTCTGTATTTATTCTGCTCATCTAGTTTTGTTTTTTTCTCTAGGATGATGGAGGCACCCGAAATTCCATCCTAACTGGCCAATTTGCTGTTCTCCCCTCAAAACATTCCCTCTTCCACCTCCATGCCCTGCTTCAAGCTGTCCATTGTACCTGGAAGACTCTCTCTGACTCTCCACCTCATAGAACCCCCAAGCTCCCTTCAAAGCTCAACTCAAGTGCCAGAACAGAAAAGAGGTGTTTTCTGATCTCTCCAAGTCTTCATTCTCCCAAGCTGTTAAATTATGGCTGTTTCAATATGCATGTCCCAACTCTTCTCAGTAGAGTGTAACCTCCTTGTGGTCACAGACCTGACGTGGTCACAATGTCTGAGCTATACTTGTTGGATGGAATTGAATTAAATAGGATAAACTTGAATTGATTTCTTTATGCTTTCAGTTAATTTTTGTTTTCCAGGAGAAAACATTCTCTGTCTCTCTAAGACCATCACATTATCCGCTGATATTTCTCTGCAGAGTTTTGGCTGAGGCTTCCCAAAAATGAATTCTGGAGTAGAAAAACATTCACTCTGAGGCTGTGAGTTCTCTCCATGGAAATCTTCAATAAAAATAAATAAGAGTCAAAAGAGAAAGCATGACCACTTCTGTATATAAATCAAATGAAATGTTTCATTAAAGAACAATTTCCTTTGGGGGAAGGCTCATTTAAGCCATGAGAACTGAGGACAGGAGCATGTCATGAGCTCCCGCCAGCACTGTGGATATTTAATAAATAGGGAGCGATTACTGGTAATTAGACTATGGTTTGCAGACATAAAACTGTCAAGCTTTTATATGGTCCCATTCTCCTAAGGGATCTTGAGTCTTGTATGGAAAAGGAGGACCATGGGATATTATAGGGAAAATCCAATTAGAACAAGTCATGATCTAATGAGGGCTTGGGAGGGCAGCAGTATTTATGTGCTCATCTCAAGGTTGTCTCAGACTAATAGGATTCCATCTTGATAAAATCAATGTGATAAATAATCCTGGCTACCAATGGCTTTTTTTGGTTCCTGTTCCTGGCATAATCCACCTCCAAGAAATAATGCTACCTGCTTGGGTGGGTCATTAGGAAAAGACAAAAGACAGCAGTGAAAACCAAGATATTCAGGATTCTTTTTGTTCTGTTCATTGAGACATGTGGGTTGATGAAACATCACCACCAACAGCAATAACCCTAAAAAGGATCCATTTTAGCCCCATACTGGCCACTTGCTACCTCAAGAACCATTGACTGCTTTGACTCTCAGTTTCTACATCTGTAAAATATAGATAATAATCCCTCCCCTGTGAAATCTATAGAGTAATTATGGGAAACGTGAGAAGTCAAGCAATCATAACCTGGATCCCAGAACTGAATCTCTGGGTTTACACAGCCCCCTGACTCATACTGGGGGGCTTCTCAATAATCAGTTTTTGTGCAATGTTCCCACGAGGATTTCCTCTTTTGAAAATCAGAATTTGGCTTGTTGTGACCCTTGTGGGTCTCAGTCAATCAATAAGCATTTATGAAACACTTACTGGGAGCCAAAAACTGTGCTGGGTGCTGGGATACCTAAACAAAACTAAAACACCATTTGGCCTTAAGGAGCTTGCATCCTACTAGGGAGACAATATGTATCATCTATTAGTCAATGTTCATTTACTAATCACCTACTATGTGCCTGAGATATGCTAGACACTGGAAATACCAAGACAAAATGAAACAGGGCCATGCCCTCAAGTTGCTTTCATTTTATGAGGAGGAGATAATATTCAATGAGGAGAGGGGCAGGAACTGTGCTAAGTCCTGGTGATTTCACAGGTATAGGGAACTCCCAGATGAGGAAATTCCATCTACTAATGAAGGTCAGTGCCTTCTCTGGAACTTAAGTCTTACAGAGCTGCCTATAGACTACAACCTTAAAAAGTGCCATGACTTAAGAAGAAATTCTGTCTATCCACTGGAGTGCTGAGGTGAGAGACAGGAAGATCTGAGTTCAAATTCAACCTCAGACATTTACTAGTTGCGTGAGTTTGGGCAAGTCACTTAACTTCTGTTTGTTTCAGTTTCCTAAACTGCACAACAGAAATCATAGTATCATCTACTTCCCAGGATTGTTGTGAGGACGAAATGAAATATTTTTAAAGTGCTTAGCGTAGTGCCTAATATATAGCAAGCATTTAAATGCTTCCTCTTTCTCCCTCCCTCCCTTTCTTCCTTTTTTCCTTCCTTCCTGTCTTCCCTCCTTTCTTCTTCTTCCTTCCTTTCTCTTTTCCTCTCTCCCTTCCTTTCTTACCTTCCTTCTTCCTTTTCTCTGTCCCTTCCTTTTCTACTCTTCCTTCTCCTTCCTTCTTTCCTTCCTTCCTTCCTCTCTTCCCTCCTTCCTTCTTCTCTTCCTTCCTCCCTTCCTTTCTTCTTCCTGGAGCATAGAGAACTTAAGTAACTTAACAAAGGTCACACAGACAATCTGTGTCAGAGGTGGGACATGCACCCAGGTCTCCCTGACCCTGAGGCTAGTTCTCTATTTCGTGCTGCATGATAGGCCCTTAATCAATGCTTGTTTACTGATTGACTATCCACTGTTACATAGCTACTAAGCGTTGTCTGTAGGATTTTAGCTCAGCTCTTCCTAGTTCCAAGTCTTGCGCTCTCTGCAGGCACCAGGCTGCCTTCCAGCCCTCCCAGTGCTGTCTGACTGTGCACGATTATACTCAGAAGTCATTATGCATTTCCTTACTTTTTTCTGATCATCTCTGGGATGCTTAGTATTTACTGAGTTTGGTTGCTTAAACAAAATAGCTAAAACCCACTCAGGAGTGCTGCCCACACTCCTCCTGGGACAGTCTGGGTTTGGCTGGAGAGCAAACATGTAGAACATTGTCTTCTGTCCTTTCCCAGCTCATCCCAGCTCCAGCACCTGGGCTCCTTCCACCCAGTGATGGGATGGCTGCATGCCTTGGGTGCACCCTGGGCTTTGTGGATGGCCAAAGCCAAAGCCTCAAAATTCAGCCCAGGCTCAGGGTGGAGTCTGGTCCTTTTACACCCTTGCCCTGGATTCACATTGATCTTCCCATTCTTTAGCCCAGCAGAAATTTGAAGGCAAACCTGAATACCCCTTTCACGTTAATGGCCTCCCTCCCTTAGGCATGATCACTGCAGTGCTGCCCGTTCTACAGAACCTTCAGGGTGAAGAGATCATGAAAGATAGGTGAAATGCAGTCTTTTGACAGAGGTGGGGGTGCATATCAGAAGTGTGATTTCACTGCTAAGAGGAAACCCCTTCTACCACTGCATTACAGCCTCTCCCTCGGTCTTAGAGAGCTGCCTGAAGCACTGAGGAGTGACTTGCCCAGGGACACACAGCCAGCATATGCCTGAGGTGAGACTTGAACCCAGGTCTCCCTGACCCTAAGGTGAGCTCTCTATCCACCAGGCCATGTCGTTATTTCTTCTTTGACTCTAACAAAGCGCCATCCATGACTGTTCTCTTTAGCATGGGATCCTGGCACGACTTGGCATTCCAAATGCTGCCTGCGGATCTGAAGCTGTGGAAGGCCACGTTGAGCTGGAAGGCTTCAAGCCTAGCTAAATTCATATACAAATCCTTTGTATATGAGCCTACTTGTTGTCTGGGTCTGTCACTGCAGGCTCAGCCAGAGGAGCTTTGGAGAGAAAGCCCTTACCTTTCAGGCCCGATAATTCATGAAGGCTGACTAAAAGGAAAACATTCAGGGATTGTCATCTCCACACGTATATGGAACAGCCACAATATTGAATCCATAGATCTTCTGCAAGGTTGAAGAAAAACAAATTCAGCAGGACTGGGCTCCCACTATATGCGGGAAGTAATGGAGTAATAGCTCCATGCTTTGGGATTGATGGAGACAGGGGAAGATGGAGCCCTTCTCCAAATCTGAGAAGTCAAAGGATGTTTTTAAATGGTCTTTCATTACTTGAAAGCATAAACCCATAAATCTAAACGAATATTTTAATAACCTGCCATCTGGGATGGGAGCCCCATCTTTACTTCCTGCCCAGGCCTGGGGCCTGTCACCACTGCCACCACTGCCACCACCATCTGGGGGCCATAATGAAGGACATGCATCCTGCCGAAGGAGAATTCTGGTGTGATGAAGTCACACTCCATGAGCTCCAGCTATCAATATGGGCACAAGGTTTTCAGTAAGCTGATGCACACCCTGAGGAGACGACGAGCAGGATGATAGAGCATGGAAACAATGTCATGTGAGAAAGGCTTACAAGTGCCAAGGATGTTCCACTCATAAAAAAATATTAAAGAGGGAAATGCTGGATGTCTGAGTAAATGAATAGTTTCTATGATCATAAATGTGGAGCTGAAGGAAACAATGGAGTCCATACAATCTAATCCTCTTATTCTATAGATGAAAAACTTGGTGCTTAAGGAGAATAAGTGATCGCCCAAATCCACATAGTTTTGTTTGTTTGTTTGTTTTTGGCTAGGCAATGGCTTAGCCCAGGTCACACAGCTAGTAAATGTAATGTGTCTGAGGCTAGATTTGAACTCAGGTCCTCCTGAATTCAGGGCCAGTGCTTTCTATCCACTGCACCACCTAGCTGCCGCTCCACACAGTTTAAAGGGCCAGGTCCTCTGTTTTCAGAGTTAGTGTTCTCTCCTCCATACCACATCTCTTCCCTCAAAGATCAAGCTTTATGGGTCTAGGTGGTCCCCATGACATACGGAAAGAAGAACTCAGTATTAGTGTAGATGTTACAGGGAAGCAGATTTAAGCTGAATGTAAAGCAAAGCTTTCCAACCGCCAGGGCTGTACAAGCCCAGAAGAACTGGATGCTTTGAGAGATGGTGAATTCACTGGCACTGGAGTTACTCAGAGCCTGGAAGGCCACTCTTTATGAAGGCTGCAGAAGGGATTTTCCTTGTGGATAAGTTCAAGAAGATGGCATCTCAGGTCCTTTGGCACTCCAAGAAGTTAGGATTCCGACTTGCACCAAGCATGGCTTAGGCTAGGTGTTTGCATAGGCTACATGGAAGATGAATTCAGTGTAGGCCTTGTACTTCACCTCAAACTGTAGCCTAGACCCTACATTAGGCAGGTTGAGTGGAATAGTTGTACCCACCCCCCACATCACCCATTAGCCAGCTGGTCACCCACTCTTACCCTTGACATCTCAGCCACTGCTCAACAGGTGGGTAGACATACAACTACCTGCCACTCACATGACCTCGCTCATGACCAGGTGTTATAGCTATTGCTGCTGGCATCTCTCAAGTGGTAACCAGATGACCTGCTGGGTGGCTGGCTGAAAAGGCACAGCCACCAATCTTTCCAAAGGTAGGCAACCTCGATCCCCATGAGCCATATCCAACTCTCAGCTTGATTTCATCTGACCAG